CATCATCATCGGGACACCATCATCATCAACGACATCAACATCATCATCACTGGGCCACTATTATCAAAATCAGCACCACCACATCATCATCATCATCATCAACATCATCAACATGATCGTCACCGGGGCACCATTACGGTCATCATCCTCATTATCATCAACATCACCATCATCATCGGGGCACCATCATCATCATCACCATCATGGTCATGATCAGCATCATCATCATCATCATCATCGGGACACCATCATCATCATCACCTCCACCATCATCATCATTTCATCATATCATCACCATCATCGCCATCAGGATCATCAACATCATCATCATCGGGCCACCATCATCACCATCACCAGCAACCATCAACATCATCAACATCATCTTCATCATCGGGACACCATCATCACCGCCACCATGACCATCACCATCACCATCATTATCGGGACACCACCATCGTCACCATCATTACCATCAACATCATCATCATCGGGACACCATCATCATCATCACCGGAAAACCACCGTCATCATCATCATCATCATCATCAGGAACGACATCATCAACATCATCGTCATCATCATCATCGGGACACCAGCATCGTCATCAGCAGCAACATCATCATCAACATCATCAACATCATCGGGACACCACCATCATCGTTCCCATCATCATCATCACCATCACCATCATCATCGGAATACAATCATCATCATCACCATCATCGGGCCACCATCAAATTCATCACCACCTCATCATCATCCTCATCATCAACAGCACCATCATCACCGGGACACCGTCATCGTCATCCTCATCAACAACATCATCATCATCGGAACACCATCCTCATCAACACCATCTTCAAACACATTATCATCAACCTCATCATCATCACCGGGACAATATCATCGTCATCTTCATCATCATCATCATCTCACCATCCCATCACCACCAACATCATCAGGATCATCAACATCATCATCATCGGGACACCATCATCATCAGCAGCAACATCAGCATCATCAACATCATCATCATCGGGACATCATCATCACCAGCATGGCCATCATCATCACCATCATCATCAACATCGTCATCATCATCGGGACACCGACGGGACACCGGCGGGGCACCAGCGGGACACCGCGGGGCACCGGCCGCCTGGTCAAGGTTCTTTTGCTCCGGCCGCGTTCAGCCACAGGAGACTTTCTCTCGCCCGCCCACGCAGCTTCGCCTCGCCCGCACGGCACGCACGAACGCGAAACCGAAATCGATTTCCCGGTAGGGGGGCTCTCCGTTCCACTTCGATCTCACCCCCTCACCTCCGACTACGCTGCGTCTTAGAACTCTCATTATCAATCTCCTTAGAAATAATAGTAGCAGCAGCAGTACAATATTATTGATACTGGCATCACTACGGATCGTAATATGTTCATTACTAACAATATATTGATGTGCATATATATTAGTAGTAGTAGTAGTAGGAGTAATAGTAGTAGTAGTAGTAGTAGTAGTAGTAGTAGTAGTAGTAGTACTAGTAGTACTAGTAGTACTAGTAGTACTAGTAGTAGTAGTAGTAGTAGTAGTAGTAGTTGTTGTTGTTGTTGTAGTGGTAGTGGTAGTGGTAGTGGTAGTGGTAGTGGTAGTGGTAGTGGTAGTGGTAGTGGTAGTAGTAGTAGTAGTAGTAGTAGTAGTAATAGTAGTAGTAGTAGTAGTCGCGTAATCGCAGTCGTAGTAGTAGTAGTAGTAGTAGTAGTAGTAGTAGTAGTAGTAGTAGTAGTAGTAGTAGTAGTGGTAGTGGTAGTGGTAGTGGTAGTAGTAGTAGTAGTAGTTGTTGTTGTTGTTGCTGCTGAAGTAGAAGTAATATTAATAGTAGGAGTCGTAGTCGTGGTCGTAGTCGTGGAAGTAGTAGCAGCAGCACTGGTAGCCGCCGTAGTAGTAGTAGTAGTAGTAATAGTAATGGCCCTCGTTGTCCTAAGATTGTCATTTCGTATTACAACTATTACGATGACTGGTGTTACTATTACTAGTATTAGCAGTCACAATAAACGTAGTAGTGATATAACCAATAGTAGTAGTAGAAGTAGCAGTAGTAGTAGTAGTAGTTGTAGTAGTAGTAATAGTAGTCGTAGTCGTAGTCGTAGTCGTAGTCGTAGTCGTAGTCGTAGTCGTAGTAGTAGTAGTAATAATAATAGTAGCCGTAGCCGTAGCCGTAGCCGTAGCCGTAGCCGTAGTAGTAGTAGTAGTAGTAGTAGTAGTAGTAGTAGTAGTAGTAGTAGCAGTAGTAGTAGTACGAGTAGTACGAGTAGTACGAGTAGTACTAGCAGTAATAGTCGTAATGGTTGTTGGATGTCTTACTACTCTCCTCTGTATTACAGTTACCACTGTGATCAAGATTAGTAGTAGTAGATGTAGTAGTAGTGGTAGTAGTAGTCGTAGTCGTAGTCGTAGTCGTAGTCGTAGTCGCAGTAGTGTTAGTGCTATGCTTGCTACTCCGATTATTATTCGTATGAGTTTAGTGTTGCTAATAATTTTATTGGTAATACTAATGCTATTATTAGTGGTAGTTGTATATGCACTAAGAATAACTTTACTTTTATTATGTTTCAGTTGCGTCACTTGTCTTCGAATCGCCAGAGGTCTTCATCTCCTCCCTCGATCCCCTCGGCGCCGGGCACCTGCTGGTCACGCTCGTCGCCCGGGCGTCCAGCGTCAGCTGGTCCAGGAACCGGGGCGTCAGGTCGCAGGGGTCCGACTCCTAAGGGATCTGTCAGGTGTTGCTTGAAGTGGCCCTGGCCCGACCCCCATCTCCTCGCAGGAGGAGGAAGAGCAGGACGAGCAGGGGGACGAGGAAAAAGTGGACGGGAGGGAGGGGAGGCAAAAGGGACTGGATGATTGGAAAAGTGCTGGTGGCCGGGGTGATGTGGGGAGAATTTGGTGCGGCACCCGCCCTTGTCGCCAGGATCCGAGGAAGGGAGGATAGGAGAGGGGGAGGAGAGGGAGCAGGCGAGGGAGGATGATGATGATGAGGATGGGGAAAAATGACAGGAAGATCTCGTGAAAAACGGCCCGGCTCCTCGATGGCGAAGGCGGCGGAGGAGGAGGAAAGCGGGGGGGAGGACAAGAAAAAGGGCGGCGGAGGAGGAGGAGGAAGGGCGAGAAAACCTTTTCCAAACGGATCCGACTTCCCAAAGGAAGGGAAGAATAAAGGGAGGGAGAAATGGGAGAAGGGGCAGGACGAGGGCAAGGAGAAGGAGAAGGAGGAGCAGGAGGAGAGGGAAAGAGGAGGGAGGGAGGAAGGGGAAAGAGGAGGAAGAGAAGAAGGAGGAAGAGAAGAACCAGAGCAAAACCAGGTATGCATCAGCGATGCTGCGAAACACCCTGCGGTTCAGAGTCCCCTCCTCGTAAGCGCCCCGGCAAGCCTTCCCCCGAACTACAGGAAGCGCCCCGCACCCCGACGGCCCTTTGAGAAAAGAGCACCCCGTGGGCCTGCAACTCGGGCGAGAGCCCTGCCTTGACAAAAAAACTGCCTTGCACCCTTCCCCACAAAGCGCAAAAGGATACGGTCATGGAGTTCATCCTGGTTGCCCGTTCTGATTCACTAGATGTGTCTTTGTGTCCCTTCTCCAGTTAGCTATCATGGGCGACGTTTCCGAACAGGCTGGTGGGGATACTTGTCGGTCAACAGGCTCACGAGACGGGTCGAAACCCGCCCGAACACGAGTCGGGCCGCGACAAGGCAGCAGGAAAAGAAAGGCAAGCGAAGCGGGCGAGCGGGCAGCCACTCATAAGGAGAGCAAGAAACGATACTCCCAAACCTGGTGGCGTTGAAAATCCCGGTGGCGACCAGCAAGTAAGCGCAGCCAAAATGGCGCGGCAGCGCGACCATACGCACGCAGCGGTCGATCGTTCGGTGTAAGTCAGACAAACAGCACCGTCAGAGACGAACTAGACCGACAGGCACACCCAGACGACATCCGTGAACCAGGCGAAACAAATGCCAAAACATCATGTCGGCGCAAGAGTGAAGAGGGGCAACCTCATCACCGACAAGACTGCAAACGGCAGTAAAACCTGTAACACTTGTCGAAAGCGAAGTCCATGCAGGAGAACCACGGCCAACGAACGCACAGAGCCACACTTGCCGAACCCGAGGTCCAGGTATCGTAAGGTAGGCAGTGTAGCGAGAGACCCACTGGAACCTCCCGGGCTGGGGGCCGACACCAGCCAGGAGCAGGCCAGGGGGCACCTGACCTCAGCGACTGCGACGCAGCACCATTCCCTGTGCGAGTCCTTGCACATCAATCTCCGCATAGCTTCTCACGCACACCCCTCCCACCACCCAGGCAAGACTCTTTTTGTCTCCAGACGCTGGGTGGTTGCACGCTCAGTCCCGCGTGCTTGAGGCCGCGGCGGCGGGTGGCGAAAGGGCAGCCGTCGCCGCCACAAACGCACCTCCCCCCTAACACCCTGTCCCAGAGGCCGCTAGGGCAGCCGTCGCCGCCACAAGATACCTGCTGGGAGGGTGAGCGGGCGCAAATTTGTGAGTAAGCATTTGGCCTCGAGCCAACGTGGCCACGTAGGCGAGGAAAATTGAAGCAATATGACTCTCTAATCTGAACATCTTCCGGCACGGGCCCTCCAGCCCGAGTGAAGAAGATAATGAGTAAGATAGCCAACGTGCATGGGTACGATAGCCAACGTGCATTCCAGGCGGTGAGCAACACTGCAGAGGGGCCAATCGCGGTCAGAGACAAATCACGCGCCCACCCGCCGGCCCTCACAGAAGCCTTGGCTCCGACTGATACTGCGCAAACTTCGCTATGCTTTCGCATCAATCTCCGCGCAGCTTCTCACGCACACCCCTCCCACCACCCAGGCAAGACTCTTTTTGTCTCCAGACGCTGGGTGGCTGCACGTTCAATCCCGCGTGCTTGAGGCCGCGGCGGCGGGCGGCGAAAGGGCAGCCGTCGCCGCCGCAAACGCACCTCCCCACCTGGCCTCAAGACGCGGAGCCTTCCGCGCACGATGAAGCACTCGAGGCCGACGAGCTCGAGGTGGACCGACGTCTCCGGAAGCAGCTGCGGCACAGAGCATCCCATGGAAAGATCTCCAAGGAGGCGTGCTTCGTGAAGCACCAGTGGGCGAACCTGACGCCGCATTTGGTTCTCCACAGCTGCGGGGGGACATCGAGCCCCTCCACTGCGACCTCGTGGACCCGGAACCTCCTCGAGCCTCCACCGCTGACGTATGGCTTGGCGGAGCCGGCGTCGAGTTTGACGAGCCGCTCCTGCAGGGCGGCCAGCGCGTCCGCGACGTCCTGCTTCTGGGCAGCCACCTGGTCGCCAACCTTGATCACGTCGTCCTGCGCCTTGGTGGGGGACTCGATGAGCGAGCGCTTCTCCTCGAGAGCGATCACCTCCGCGGGAAGATTCTCCAAGGGCGCCTCGCGGATATAGCGGAGAACGGTGTCGCCAGCCCACCGCGCATGCAGCATGATCTCGTGCACCTCCAGCCCTGCGATGGCCAACCTCTGGGCCCCCGTGACTCCGAAAGAATGCCCTCCCAAAGCCTTCGCGCCACTCGGGTGGAACGGAGCGCCTCCGTAAGCCGCAACGGTGACCTCGAGCGCCGCCACGACGTTGGCCTTCAGGCAGACCCCGCCAGTGCGGGCTCGGAAGAGCGGCAAGTCCCGGAGCATGCCCAACTGCGCATCTGCCGCACAATACGGGCACAACTCACGAGACAGCCGGCTCGCGCACGTGCAACCCCATGTTCTCGCGCAGCCGACGGCCCGCGGGTCCCTTTTGGAGACTGGGAGCCTGAGGCTGACCTTGCGCTCGGCCCTGTTGAGGGTCACGTGGCCGACCTTGGCAAACGCCGCCTCGATCTCCCGCATGACGAACATGGAGGCGACGATGAGGAAGTTCACCCACCCCACGCGCGCGAGCGGCCCCAGGTAGACGCTGCCCTCGCGCACAGCCTTGACCGCCGCGTTGAGGTCGAAGGGCGCTGACTGTCTCGCAACGCCCGGGCCCCAGAGGACCGATGCCGTGGCCTTCCGCCGAGCAAGGTCCGGCTGCTCATCCCACGGCCAGCCGGCGAGGGCGCGGGCCTCCTTAGCCTTGGCCATGTATGCAGGGAACCCCGGCAGCCCCCCTGCTTGAAGCAAGCGGCGACAGCGTAGACCGCCTCCGCGCTCAGCGGGAGGGGCGGCGTCGCTTCGCCAAACCAAGCCTGGTGAAACACCGACCAGGTTGCCCACAGCGAGTCGGCGGTGAGCTTGCTGCTGGCCGCTGACGTGTCCTGCAGGAGCCTGGCGAGGACCTCCCCCTTCCCTTTGATCGTGTTTCGGCCACCTTGGAAGCCAGAATACTACCGCCATCACCTGGATGGGGCCCCACGCTCATCCAACAAAAAAGACGTCGACCCTGCGCCGAAATTCGCACAGGAATGCGGATCCGCGAGCAGAGGCTTCTGCGAGCACGGCGCGCCCCGCGCCCCGCCCCCGCCCCCAGAGAGGGCAGGTTCTGCGCCCCCGGGCCCCTCGGGATCGCCGCGCCATGCTCTGCCGACCAGCCGAGAGACGCCTTCAGACGCCGGGCCCCCAGCCGCAGGAGCAGGAAAAGGAAGAGGAGGAGGAGGAGGAGGAGGAGGAGGGGCAAGAAGAAAAAACATTGTGAATAAACGCCGAACAGGACAGGAGGAGGGAGGGGAGCGGCAGAGGCAGCGCAGAGCAAGCAGGAACGAGGGGGCGGACGGAGGAGGTCGTCGTCGTGGATGGGGGAGGGGGCGGTCGTGGTCAGGGCAGGGCGTCGGGGGCGTCGGTCGTCGGGGGCGGTCGCGGTCGTCGGGGAGGGTCGTGGTCGTCGGGGCGGTCGTGGTCAGGGCAGGGCGTCGGGGGCGTTGGTCGTCGGGGGCTGTCGTGGTCGTCGGGGGCGGTCGTGGTCGTCGGGGCGGTCGTGGTCAAGTCAGGGCAGGGCGGCGGGGGCGGTCGCGGTCGTTGGGGCGGGCCGGGGGCGGTGGTCGTAGTCAGGGGAGGGGGAGTGGGCCGGCGGCTCAGGCGGCGTCGGCCGCGTTGGCCGCCGTGGCCGCCGCAAACCTGGCCGCGGGCGCCCCGACCGGCGCCTGTAGCCTGCGGAGCACGGCCCGCGCGTTCTCCCTTTGGAGGAGATGCGAGAGTCGCTGGGCGTGCTCCGCCGCCACCTGCGAGGGGTCGCCCCCCGTGGCGTCTGCCGCGCGCTTGGCCAGGACGGCCAGGGCGCGTCGCGCCTCCTTGCCCCAGCCGCCGCCGTGCGCCTCGACCACCATGGGAATGAAGGTGATCCCAGCGGCGGCGCAGCTGCGCTCGGTGTTGAGGAAGAGGCGTTTTTGCTCCTCGTAGCGCTCGGCCGCGGCGCCAGGCGCGGCAGCCGAGGCGGCGAGCAGGTCGCCCCGCAGCTCCGAGGTGACCGCGAAGTCAAGGGCGGCCGGGGCGCCGTTACGCCAACGGGGAATATACACATCCGCCGGGCGCCGGCCGCCGTCGTCGAGCTCGCCGCCGTTCTCTTCCGCCCCAGGCGGGCCCTCGCCGCTCGCGCGAGGCTGCAGAAGGCCAGGCCGTTCGAGCTCGGAGCCTGGGAACCCCGCGGCTTGCGCGGCGAAGAAAGCCTGGTCTCGTATGGCGTTGCGCCGCTTGACTCGGCCCCCTCGGCAAGGACAGACCAGCGCGTGGTCGCCGTAGACGTCGAGGATGCCGTCGCAAGCCGGGCAGAAGGTCTCTGCGTCCGCCAGCTGCAGCCGCAAGCGCCTCTGCAGAGCAATCTGCATCAAGCCGCGCGGGAACTCCGTGCCAACCTCAGCGCGGGGCCGCGCCTGCAGCCAGCCGCTGGCGCCAGGGGCACTGACCAGCGAGAGGTGGGCCCTGGTGGCGGGGCAAGCGCGTTCCCAGAGTTCGGCCTTGGCGGCCTGGTCCAGCCGGTCAGAGAGCCCCCGCTGGCTGCCGTGCTGGCTGGCGTCGAGAGCGATCCGATCTGCCCGTGTTAACCGGGCGTTGTAGGCCGCCGCGGCAGCGCCCAGGGCGCCGTCGGCGCCAGTGTCGTCGTCGGAGTAGCCCGCCCAGAGCTGCTGGCAGAGCGCAGAGCAGGCCGCGCGGGAAGCCAAGTAGGCGGCGGGCGCGTGGCGCTCCGCCGAGCGCAGCCCCAGGCCGCCTGCCTTGAGGGCGAGCTGCGCCTGTGCCCAGGAGTCGCCCGTGGGGGAGCTGCTGCTCAGCTGCTCGAAGCAGGCGCGCACTGCGTTGCCCAGCTTGACCAGCGCTTCCGCGTGCACATTGGGCGGGACAACCCGCGCCGAGTACCTCTGCTCTGCAGGGATGTTTTGTCGCCCTAACGCCTGGGAAATCCTTCCTGCTCTTACGAGGCGCACGATGCGCGCCCGATGCGGCCGCAGAGCCGGCCCTCGCCGACGCCGGCGACGCAGCGCGGGCGGCCGAGCCAACGCCTTCTGCGCCTCCTGCAGCGGCCGCGCGGTCGGCCCTCGCCGACGCGCGCGACGCAGCCGGAAGTTGGGCAGGAGCGGCGCCCGAAGCGGCCGCGGGGCCGGCCATCGCCGACGCCAGCGACGCAGCATGGGCAGCCGAGCGGGCACCAGCCCTGGCCCCCGTAGCGGCCACGCGGTCAGCCCTCGCCGACGCGCGCGACACAGCTTGGAACTGGGCTGACCCCTCCCCCCTCCCCCCCGGGGCGACTGCAGGGTCGGCCATCGCCGCCGCATGCAACGCAGCCCTGGCGGGCGACGTCGCGCCTCCTGTCGAGGCATCCGCGCCTGCGCTCACCGATGCAAGCGACGTGCTCGCTTTCGGCCTCTGCGGTGCGCGGGCGGATTCCCCCGGTCGCTGGCCTTTGCCATTCGCCTTGCCCTTCAGCGCGGCCGCCCCCAGCGCCGGCCCGAGGGCTGCGAAGTCCGCCCCCCCCTTGCAGAAGGCGGCCGGCCCACATGCAACTGCATGGGCCTCTGGGCGGCCGGTCAGTAGCGTTCGCGGCCATGCCCAGAAGAACGAGGGCGAGCGCTGCCGCGCATCGTCGCGCCTGGCCGACCTCAGCGAGCGCGGAATCTCCGCGCCCCGCGAAATCCGGCTCACCGCGTCGCACTCGAAGTTCAGCGCGCCCGCGACGTGCTCCAGGCTGACGCGGACATTCGCGCTCTCGAACCGCAGCGCCAACTCCGCCGCGAAGGCGTTCATGAGCGGCGTTCTGCCGGCCAGCCTGGCTGCGCTGAAGAGGGCCGCTGTGGCGCCCGTCTGGGGCAGCGCGAGCGCCTCGTCCCTGAGGCGCGGCAGCCAGCAATCCACGGCAACCAGGAGCGCGAGCAACTCCCACTCGGCCTGCCACGCTGGGCCCCCGCGGGTTGCGGGAGCAGCTCGAGGTCCGCGTCCGCCCACCCCTCGGCGATCCAGGCGCGCGGCGCCCCATCGACGAAGAAGATCGCGCCGAACCCGCACGGGGACGCGTCGGTGCGGATGCACGCCGACAGGTCGGCTAGGCGGGTTGTCGCAATAGTCCATCTTTGGACTGCGATCGGCTTGCCATCGCGATCCCGGATGAGCCCGGCAAACAGCAAACGGATCCAAGTGATCGCCTGCTGGATTCGCAGTAGAAAGAAGAGCTGGCCGGGCCGCTTCTTGGCCGAGAATCTCAGGGCCCGCGCATTCTGCCCCTGGTCGTGCGCCGCCAACGCCGCCCACAGGCAGGCGCTGAACCCGCGGAGCCAAGGAAGTAGGCCGCTGGCCCACGAGAGCTGGCCGGCGAGCTTGCGAACCTCCTTGACATGGACGACGCCCGTCGAGCGGTGGATCGCGTCGACGGCCTCGACGATCTCCCGGCACTTTTTCGGAGCCAGCGCGACCTGGATGCCCCACGCGTGCCGGCGGCACTTCTTACACCGCCGGCGCTGGAGCTCCAATTGTGCCCCGATCCAGGGCACGGCCTGCCCGCGAACGGCCTTCTTCCAGCTGAGCCTGAAACCAAGCGCGGCCCAGAACAGGAGGAGCGCGCCCAGGAGCCACTTCCGCTGGTGCGGGGGGCCGCGAGCGCAGATCGCGGGGTCGTCCACAAAGCACTGGATTCTGAGCTCGTGCGGTTGGTACATCGCCTGGCCCAGCCTGCACGCAGCGGCGCCGACTCTGCGCCAAACCAAGGGGGCCGAAGCCATCCCGCAGCACAGGCGGCGGAAGACTGCCCAGCCAACCGCCGTCTTGAAGACCATCTTCCCCCAGTCGGCTGCTCGGAGCGATAGGGTGTGGAAGGCGCCCTCGAAGTCCACCGTGCACAGCTCGTACCAACATTTGTGAGTAAGCATTTGGCCTCGAGCCAACATGGCCACGCATGCGAGCAAAATTGAAGCAAAATGTCTCTCTAATCTGAACATATTCCGGCACGGGCCCTCCAGCCCGAGTGAAGAAGATAGTGAGTACGATAGCCAACGTGCATGAGTACGATAGCCAACGTGCATTCCAGACGGTGAGCAACACTGCAGAGGGGCCAATCGCGGTCAGAGACAGATCATGCGCCCACCCGCCGGCCCTCACAGAAGCCTTGGCTCCGACTGATACTGCGCAAACTTCGTTATGCTCTCGCGAATTCCAGACCAGGGGGCACCTGACCTCAGAGAATGCGACGCAGCGCCATTCCCTGCGCGAGCCCTTGCACGAATTCCAGAACAAGACTGCAAACGGCAGTAAAACCTGCAACACTTGTCGAAAGCGAAGTCCATGCAGGAGAACGTCGGCCAACGAGCGTACAGAGCCACACCTGCCGAACCCGAGGCCCAGGTACCGCAAGGTAGGCAGTGCAGCATGAGACCCACTGGAACCTTCGGCGTCAGTAGGAGCAGGCCAGGGGGCACCTGACCTCAGCGAATGCGACGCAGCACCACTCCCTGCGTGGACCCTTGCATGAATTCCAGACCACCTGAACGCCACCAGGAAGCAATACTGGGCGGCAGACCCCAGCCGCCTGGGAAAAACTCTGTGCAACAGGAGGGAGAGCACCCGGGTGCAGGGGAAAGGAAGGGAAGTGCACGCCAGGCACGGTAGGCACCCCGGAGTGGGATGCAGGAGGGGAAGGAAGGAAGTGCACGCCAAACACAATAAGGAGGCAGGAAGAAAGGAGGGGAAGTGCACGCCAGGCACGGCTGGCACCCCGGTGCGGCAGCGAACCGCTGCAGCATTAGGATGCAGGAGGGGAGGGAAGGAAGTGCACGCCAGGCACACGGTGCGAGAGGAGGAGGAAGAGCTCGCCATAACCCTGCGCACACTGACGCGCACGCCAGGCGCTCTGATTCTCTGGTAGGGCGCTGACGGCTCGCAGACGCCGTCGACACGGGGGCGGAGACAGACGGCCGCGCCTCCGACGCCAAGGGCCCGACCTCGCCCGAGAGCATTCGCACCCTACAGCGAACGGCCAGCGTCGGCGCCCACGAGATCCCGACCGATCTCGCAGGGGTGCCGATCGCCCCTTGTTCGCGCCGACGTGGCGTCCCAGGTGTTGCCCACGCACCTGCGCCCAGTCGATACCCAGGCCCAATGAGTCACTCACGGCCCAAGCATCGCAGCTGTGGCTGCGAAATGAAGTCAGGAAGGCGACGCGGGCTCGCTGGTCGCGCCGACGCGGGTCGAAAACGCGCGGTGCCAGGGGCAGCGCGTTGCTCGGCAAAGGCGTGCCAGACGGCTGTGAACGACGCAACCTGATCGTCTCGTTTGGTGACGCCCCGCGGGTATCCCACTGGGACTCGTGGACCCGGCCTTCATATAGCGGCCTTCCAGTGCGGGAGCCCCGTGGTCCTGGATGCTGGCGATCGGCGAACAGCCTGGGCATCCACCCACTTCCCGTCCGACGCGTCGAGGATGCCCCCCAGTTGGGCTGCCGGCCCGTCTCGGCGGCCGAGCTCACGCCCCCACCCGAGAGGGGGGTCTGGCGAGCTTGGCAAGGATGCAGGGGTTGCCCCGTAGCTGCTTGTTGAAGCGTCCGCCCGCGTCGAGTCGCCGGCACGGGAGGGGGGGCAAATGGGGGCGCAAGGGATCCTCGACACCAGCTGAAGGATGGCTTCGCTGTCCCGCTCGTCAGGGGAGAGCTGACGTGCGGGCGCGGTGGAACTTCCCAGTGCCGTCTGGAGGGTGGCTTCACTGTCGGGCAGGCCGTCGGGTTGGCCGCCGGGCTGGCCGAGGAGCTGGCCGTGGGATTGGGCAAGGCCACAGGAAGAGTGATGAGTAGGGCGTCAGGTTGGGCGTCGGGAGCGGTGTCGGGTGAGGCGTCAGACTGGTCGTGGTCGGGCCGGCCGTCGGGCAGGCCTGTGTGCTGGCGGTCGGGCTGGCCGTCGGACTGGTCGCAGGGCTGGCACTCGGGATGGCCGTGGGGCAGGCTGAGGGGCTGGCCGTGGGGCTGGCAGTCGGGCTGGCCGAGGGGCTGTCGGTCGGGCTGGCTGCGGGGCTGGCCGCGAGGCTGGTCGCGGGGATGAAAGTCGGGCTGACCGTGGGACTGGCCGTAGGCCTGGTCGTGGGGGAGGCCTTGGGACTGGTCGTGGGGCTGGAAGTCGGGCTGGCCGTGGGACCGGCCGTGGGCCGTGGGGCTGGCAGTCCAGTTGGCCGCGGGGCTGACCGTGGGCCTGGCAATCGGGCATGCCCTGGGTCTGGTCGCAGGGCAGGCCGCGGGGCTGGCATTCGGGCTGGCCCCGGGGCTGGCCGTCGGGCTGGCCGTTCGGCTGGCCGGGCTGGCCGTCCGGCCGGCCGTGGGGCTGTTAGTCGGGCTGGCCGTCGGACTGGCTGTGGGGCTGGCCCGTATAGGACTGGCCGTGGGGCTGCCCGCGGGGCTGGCAGTCGGGCTGGCCACGGGGCAGGCCAACGGGCTGGCCGTCGAGCGGGCCGTGGATCTGGCAGCCGGCCAGGCTAAGGGGCCAGCAGTCGGGCTGACCGCGGGGATGGTCGCCAAGCTGGCCGTGGGGCGGGCCACGGAGCTGGCCGTCGGACTGGCCGTGGGGCTGGCTGTCGGGCCGGCCGTGGGGCTGGCAGTCGGGCTGGCCGTCGGGCTGGCCGTGGGGCTGCCAGTCGTGTGGGCCGTGGGGCTGGCCGTGGGGCTGGCAGTCGGGCAGCCCGTGGGGCTGGCCGTGGGGCTGGCCGCGGGGCTGGCAGCCGGGCTGGCCTCGGGGCTGGCCGTCGGGCTGGCCGTCCGGCTGGCCGTGGGGCTGGCCGGGCTGGCCGTGGGACTGGCCGTGGGGCTGGCAGGAGGGCCGGCCGTGGGGCTGGCAGTCGGGCTGGCCGCGGGGCTGGTCGCCAGGCTGGCCGTGGGGCTGGCCGTTGGGCTGGCCGTCGGACTGGCCGTCGGGCCGGCCGCCTGGCTGGCCGTGGGGCTGGCCGCGGGGCTGGCCGTGCGACCGGCCGTGGGGCTGGCAGTCGGGCCGGCCGTGGGGCTGGCAGTCGGGCTGGCAGTCGGGCTGGCCGTGAGGCTGTCAGTCGTACGTTGGCCGTGAGGTGGGCCGTGGGGCTGGAAGCCTGGCTGGCCGTGGGGCTGACCGCGGTGCAGGCCGCGGGGCTGGCAGCCAGGCTGGCCACGGGGCTGGCCGTCGGGCTGGCCGTCGGGCTGGCCTTGAGGCTGGCCAGGCTGGCCATGGGACTGACCGTGGGGCCTGCAGTCGGGCGGGCCGTCGGGCTGGCCGTGGGGCTGGCCGTAGTGCGGGCCGCGGGGCCGGCCGTGGGGCAGGCAGTCAGGTTGAACACGGGGCGGGCCACGGGCTGGCCGTCCGGCGAGCCGAGGAGCTGGCAGCCGGGCAGCCCGTGGGGCTGGCAGTCGGGCAGCACGGGGAACTGGCCGCCAGGCTGGCCGCGGGGCTGGCCGTTGGGCTGGCAGTCGGGCCGTCCAGGGGATGGGCCGCCAGGCTGGCCGGGGGGCGGGCCGAGGGGCGGGCCGCGAGCCGCAGCGCGGCGCCGGCCACCGCGCCAAGCGCCGCCGCCGCCGCCGCCGCCAGCGAGGAGCTCAGCGGCGGCGGCAGCGGTAGCAGCCGCGGCCGCCGCGAAAGCGGCCGAGACGCCGGCCACGGCGCCGCCCCCGGCCGCCGCCGCCGCCGCCTGGGAGCCGGCAGCGTCGGCGGCAGCGGCAGCAGCAGCGGCCGCCGCGAAAGGCAGCCGCGACGCCACGCGCGCGCCGCCGGGCGCCGCCGCCGCCGGAGGGGAGGCCAGCGGGGCGGCCCGCAGCGGTGGCGGCGGCGGCGGCCGCGGCGACGGCGCCGCGGAGGCGGGCCGCGGCGGCGCCGGCCACCGCGCCCTCCGCCGCCGCCGCCGCCGCCACCGGCGAGGAGCCGGCAGCGGCGGCGGCAGCGGCAGCGGCGGCGGCAGCGGCAGCGGCGGGACAAGAGGCCAGCGCGGCGCCAGCCGCGCCCGCGGCGCCACTGGCGCCTGCGGCGCAGGCGGCGCCTGTGGGGGCCGAGCTGGGGCGGCCGCCGGCCGTCTCCGACGGCGGCAGGCCAGCAGCGGCGGCGGCAAGCCCCGGCAGCCCGCCAAGCCCCCGCGGGGCGGCCCGCCAAGCCGCCGCCAGCCGCTAACGGCGGCGAAAAGCGGCTCCGGAGAGGGCCGCGGCGGGAGCGGACATGGCCCAGGTCCGAGCGCGCACCTGAGCCAGGGGCGGACTTGGGCCGAGACGGCTTGAGACAGAGTGGGTACGGACTGGTGGGGATACGCGAAGCTTGAATGATTTTCCTTGTCCCTGACATTGCGAAGTGAATGTTGCTACCAAGCGTCAAGGCAAACTGTCGTGCTGGTTACAAATGACCGCAGCGCGACGAAACGGAGAAGCAAGGATGAGCTTCCCCGTCCACGGTCAGCGAGGCGAACGGCAGGAGAAAGCAGAAGCTCAGGCGAAAAGAGCCAAGACGCGTGCGCCTCGAGATCCTCTCCACAACCTCACCGCGGAACTCTCGATGCTAAACAGCAGACGCCGAGGCCACGCAGGGGCAGAGGGTTCAAGGGGCGCGCGGCTGCAGCCAATGGGACCAGAAAACCTGATTGTTCGAGCCAAGATGGCTACGGAAGGCCATGGGTATGGACGTGATGTTCTCTGCCTACTGCCGAGGCCGAGACCAATCCTGGCGCCCCTTGCAGTACCACACTGAGCCAGTGACGTTGGCGTCGCGGTGCATCGGCCGGAAAGTCACCGCGAGACGTGCCGTCGCGACAGGATGCTCCTGCCCGGGTCGGTTGCCGACAACGACGACAACGACGACGACGACGACGACGACGA